GAGATAATAGCGGCATGCCAATCGAGGTACAGGATTGGACCTAATCTGTATCTTACCACTGGGGCACGTTGTGTATCTTTGTCTATGTCTTGTTTAGAGTGGACGTGAACTCAGAAGCAATGTCGACGGAAGCGGAGTGCGTTGATGATCAGTATCGAGATAGAGTCTTACAGAAGGCGGAGGCTGATTGGGATTTGGGTGGGTTATACAGGGTCGAGGAATAGAAAGCGCACACAAATAGGCATGAATCGGACCTAATGTGTATCTTACGCGGTTCAACCTAAGATACGAGCGTCGTCGCGTACCTTGCTATACATCGGACAGGGGTCTCGACATCTAGTGGATTAGATCTGCTTCGCTCAAGCGTCTCTGTCCCTCTACCGTCAGTTCCCCAGCATACCGCCTCTCGAGACTCCTACGTTCAACTCAGTCGATACGTCCCCGTCAGGTGAGCAGCTTCCATTCTTCCTGCTCACTTCTGGCTGGACCTTGGCCTTGCCAGGTTGTCCCATGAGGATCGTAAGGCTTTGAATCTACTGGAGCGAGCTCTCAATGTGAGCGAGTATACAGACAGAGTCGACGTCTACACGCTGCGACAAGAGAAGGACAGTTTGATCATTGACCAACTGGATGAGGTTGGCCTTCATCTGCTACTAGTGTGATGGGGCTTATCAGGCGTGCTCTATCTTGTCTGGAATGTCGATAGCCTCACATCAGCGTCCTCCTGCGGATTTCCAGCACTGGTATCAACGAGTGTTCGAGGTAAGGGTTGTGTCAATCAGTTTTCAGTCGACTTGAGAGTTTAGGTTGGCAGACGGTATAAGATGCTCAATCCGGAGAGGTTCCGAGATAACTATGGAAAGTTGATGTAAAATATATCGGTGAAGAGATCGTTGTGGAATAGATTTACAGGTACATGTTGATGGATGCGAATAAGGTCAGGGACAGATTGCAGTTTGAGCTGATCAAACCGATCAAGACGATCGAATCGGAATATGGGTACGCCGAATTTAGTTCTGAAAATCTGAATAACGGGTTTCACTTTTTTGTTCAGAGCCCTCGGTCAACCCCTGGAAAATCTTCTCCTCGACTCTCGGTTGCCTCTAGCTGTCCATCCAGCACACAACAAGGAGGAGGCAGCTGTTAAGACAGCAGCAAGGGAAGATATAGCGGCTAGACATGGGGTGAGGTATACACTATAATGTGGCCTATCTGGGTCTCTTGCATCGCTCTAGTATCCACTTACGGCCATGCCTAGTTTTCAGTACTGCAAATGGATACTGTGCGTATCGTTCGATAGTAGGCTGCCGCTCATTGTCGATATGGTTAGGATAAGTTCCAGCCTGAAGACTTGAATGCCGTCCTCGACTCGCTCGAAGAATTTGAAGAATTCCGGGAGCACTGCTCGGAGCCAGCGACCAGGATGAAGGAGTATCTTCAGCATTATTTCTCTCCTATCGATGAAACCTCTGGATCTGGTGGGTCTATCAACGTGCTAGGGAAGGTCATGGAGTCGACTTCTAGACGGTGTAAAGTCTCGCCACTGTTCACTGCGCTTGCGGTACGGCGAGGGAGGCGCGAGGCTCTCTCATGACCATCGACGGCAGTACCAGTATGTTCTGCAGAGTTTGACGCTATGGGATGACGTAAGCCTCCGCGATTGCTTTGCCGTGGTCAGTGGGTCCTCAGGTGTTGAAGAACCTCATTCAACTCTGGCACATGGTTGAGAACGACACTATCGTGAAACCTGCAGGAGGTTATCGACTCGCCGATACAGGCCAGGGCCTCAATCGGTAGGTATTGATCTTTACTGCCGTTGGTGTTACTGTGATACTTAGGATACAACAAGCTCCCTCAGTGTACCGTGCGATGAACCAGATACTAAATAGTGTCCAGCAGAAATTGGGTGGTTGGACAGGCTCGAGCGTTGTACATATGGGTGACCACAACGTCCCTAATGTACGTCTTCTTACTGTTGGTCGTCAACGAGACTGTCTATGATAGGCGCTTATCTTCCTTGATAAATATTGTCAAATCCCTCGGATACTGTCCCCTGTATGTCATTGTCTTGATCGTTTGGAAGCAGAATACCAAGCAAGGCCCAGCATTAGAGAGTACACCAACAGAGATCATCAAAAAATTACTTGATATATCCATCAGTTACGTTGATTCAACCTTTGGCGGTGTTGATGGAGCTAAACGAATAATATTGCAGGTGCGCTCGACAGGATCAAAGAGATTATGTGACCATTCTTCTCTTCTGTTTAGGATTTCTTCAAACACGCATTCGATGGCAGCGGTGCTGACAATTTCTTTGACGCCGGAAGCTGCATCGATGGGAGGTGAACAAGTCCCTTTACAGTTGTCTACGACATCGCCATCTCAGGTTGACATCAGCATGGAACTGGTGTAGTCAAATCGAGAAAAAGATCTACTTTCCCTTATTCTTGCTCACTGGATTTACTGGTTTCGACGGCGAGGAAGGATGGTGATGCTTTTCCCGTTGTTCCTACATACACTAGTCTCTAATCTACTCCTTTTGTGTTCAAGTAATCAGTTGTATTGGAATATAAACACGAAGTTGGAGGCAGAGAATTACTCTGATCCTGTGGCATAGCGGCCCCAACCGCTGAATAAACTCTTTAACAGGCGGCACATAAGCTTCCAACAATGCGAAAGCCCAGTCAAACCGAATACACTTTCTGATGTCCATCATATCGACATCGTACCGTCGAGTAATGGCATAGCGGCCCCGTCTGACTATCTCAAGTCATCAATCGGGGCCGCTATGCCACTACTCCTACTGAAGATACTTGTCCCTAAACCTCCGAGATTCAGATCAGTGATGCAGATCATTTACTTTCAAAGAAACAGTTTAAGGAGACGCAGAAAGCACTCGAGGCATCCGTCTGTAGTATATTGATATGTACGGGTCGATGTGTGAAGGGGTTCCAGTTGGATATCGGGGTGCTCGGAAGATACACTATGTGCAGGCAGGCCTTGATAAATGGCCTTGGGTCAACAAACTGATGCTGTCTCTCTTAACCCGAGCCGTATCAGTCAGAACTTGCGCAACATGGCGATCGATCGCGAAAGAACATGAGCGGGGAAAAGGACATGTTATGAGGATAGACTTTTCTGATACGATGATGCTCCTATCATCCGTTGCACTCGTCGCTGAACGTCACGCAAGAGGGAGACTCTCGCCATAAGACCCTGCTTTTCCAGCGTCGTCACATATCTGCTAACACACCTAACTGTTGCTGGGCAGAAACTGTCTTCCGACCTGGTCGTAGCAGACGGATGAGCCATGACCACGCTTTCGAGGAGCTGGCTAACGGCTAAGGCAGCGTTCCATCTGAGCCCCAACTCATAAGGCGGCCGGCAGTCATCTACATGGAGAATGACGAGTCAGCTCTCCAGGAAGTCTCAGCCTAGTTCGGCCGAGTGCTCCTACCTTTCGTCTTTCTCTGGGCCTCGGTTCCATACTGGGCTTCGTATAATGCCCAAACGGGGCGAGATATGAGAGATACGAGGTCGCGAGCTGAGCTCATGCCTCAGTCTGCTAGGCTAGCTACAACTCACCATCCCAAATCCCCGACACTTGAGGTCTTTGACGGTGGGCTTTCTCCACACTGGCTGGAGCTTGATCCATGACTACGACATTAGGAGGCACGGGAGTCTCTGGATGGCTGGGATCAACCGGGAATGATACATTGAGAGTCAAGCAGATTGTCTGATGACAAGATTTCATAACGATTCTGGATTCGTCTCGTTGAGGATTACATCGACACAGGCCCTTATGATGCGTTGAGCAAGCTCCTCCTTGCCGGCTAGCCGAGGCATCGGTACTGACTGACCACTACCAGCCGAACAAAGCTTCGAAGCATCACTGCACCTGGTGATCAAGAAAACGTTTTCTCTATGCTATATAGCTCATCGCGACCTACAGCTCTCTCGGTACTAATTCGATGGGGGATGCGGAGGTCAACAGACACGCTATCTGCCGTTATGTGTGATAATCTCGCCATAGACGGGTCAACGAGCTCACCGTTTGCGCAGCGTAAATCAAGATGCCTGGCGAAGGAGGTTTGGCTACCTTCCCGTACTGCTCTGGGGGACACTCCATTATCTAATCAAAAAACATCCATGATCGCAGCAGACATTGCAGATAAATTCGTGTTGTTCGATTTCGCGTAGTGACCTCGAGCAATGGGCCAACAAGCTCATCCCTGCCTTGCATAGGGTACGACATCGCAGTTATAGCAGCTGCTTGGATCGTCTGTAGTCGTACTAGCTCGACAACTTTGCTGGCGGATTCTCGTATGAATCTGAAGGGCCTTTCTACCTCCTCGAGTGATGACCCAGAGAACTCACTTCAACTGCTTGAATGAAGGATCGGCTCCTCGAAGCTCACGTTCCCAAATGTCGCGTAACTGTGGAAGCCATCGAGGCCTGACCACTGGCACGAGTGTGCCATCACCCGTTTATCCATAGTATGGTCAGCTACTGCAGTGATTAGACACCCGAGGAGGACGTTGTCGACCGTCGCAGACGACGCACTCCTGAGTGAGTAAGCTGCTGCAAGGAGGTCAAGGAGATGTTTCGGCCTCGTGTCTGCATCTCCTGCGAGTGCCTGGGTGAAGCGGAGGAGATGAGCAGACTGCATCGAGGTGGGAGTCCTCCGGTGTCACCTTATAGTAGCCCGTATAAGGAGCCCCTCCATCACCGCATACACCGAGGGCGATGTCTTTCGTCAGGACCGCCACTGCCAATTGGCGTGCTGATGCAGATGCGGCTGGGCTCGTTATCATCTTCTGTAAAGGAAGATCTTATCGAGTGGATGCGGAGGGATGTGAGGTTATCACTTCCAAGTGTCTATGGACTACTGCGATGGAAGGACGGTTGACCACGACAGATCTCAAGACAAGTGCCACGGAAATGTTGCCTGATGTCGCGGTGGTACTGCCAAGCAAGGGTGTGGGAGACTGACCGAACGCTTCCTCGAGTAGTATCATCTTGACCACTGCGTCGATCTCTGCAGAGTTAACATCTCCTAGTAACGATTCGATCTCTTTCGGAGTGTCTCCGTCACAGTCAACGATCTGTAGCTCCACTCTGGCCTAGCCGACTAACGTGCCCTCACCTCCCTGACAAGCTTGGCGGCTCGCTGCGGATCGGCATCTGCGGGCACCAAGTCGACCGTTGAAGGTATTCGTTCGTCCTGGGACCCATTGAGCAACAGCTCACAGGCTATAAACTGAGGCACATGAGTGTGCGGCGACACTAGAGGCTACCGTAATCACTTTCATTCGTTGAGACCCGAAGTTATCGAAATCGGTCGCGCTGGAGAGAGTCCGGAGGATAGATAGGAATGCTTCTCGAGATGTTGAGACTGAGCCAGGAAGTTCGCCTCGGGGCAGTTCACTGCTGATTCATCGCCACTGTTGTTACGAAGGGTTGATAGAGCACGGAGTCTTACCGCAAGATAGGAGTAGATCGGACGCGTAGATGCTGTCGATGATGTGCTCGTAAAGTGGCTGACACCGTGAGACTGCTGGAGCCTGAGATGAGCGACGAGATTATTCTTTTCTCTGTACGGGGTTCGGGGAGGTGGACAATATCAAAGAGTCGTACCTCCGGGGAACAATGCTGACCGTAGACTTCCAATGCCCCTGCGAGCAGCAGACTTAATACTTTCACGGATGTCAAACGCCATTCGTCTTCAAGATGAGATTCGGCACGGAGATCAGGTGAGCTGAGCCAAGTGGTCCATGGTATGGGCAAGTCTAGTCGTGACATATCTCACGAAAACTTACAGGAGATCCCACCATGCTTGTGGGTCAACATAGCGGCCGAGCATCGTGACGACTAAGTCAAATCTGCCAAGGAGGACTGCGTTAACGCTGATGCAGCGTATCGCTGGAAATACACACTGATGGTCTCGTCCGGTTTTCTTCGTCTCCTGAACGTCCAAGGTAGACCCTCTGAGCAGCCGTAACGATCTGTTTTAACCATTCTGTTACTCTGAGTGAAGAATCATCAGCGCGCGAGGAGCACGCCACACTATATCAACGCCCTGCTGGCCCAATGGATAAGGCGCCACCCTCCTAAGGTGGAGATTCCGGGTTCGATCCCCGGGTAGGGTATTTGCCTCAACTTTCTTCAGCTTGTTGAACAAGCCTTGTTCTAAACAAGCTGGAGCTCACCTTCTTCGACAAATCCGACCAATACAGCCAAGAGTCTCGCAGCATTCAAGGCGTTACCTGTCAATAGACATATGCAAACCCAGGAGAGGCTGCGGAGAGTGTACATTCCTTGAAGTCAGTCACTTGATTGAGGGTCGCAAGGATGAACCTCCTCGCTGATGTCCTCACCCAACATCTCGCCCCAAGTCGAGGCCTTGGCACCGGCTGAACACATTCGCCATCAACCACAAGCCCCAAATTTGGACAGTCGAACAATGATTCCATCGCGGGACGGCTACAATGATACAAGCGTCAGTAGAATGCGACGGTGACGAAGGTACATATGAATCTACAGGATAATCGAGACTTGCTATACATCAAGACCTTTAAAATTCCCTTATTCGCCTCTGCACAGTGGAACGGGCATCGAAATCAACGAGGATGCAGAGCCCAGCAGCGCTGAACACACCCTTCCAGCTGTAACGCATTTGGCAATATCTGCAACTCTATCACTGGTGACGAGCTCCGCCATGAGCGGCCAGTCGTAGTCTTTCACATCGAAGACAGCAGCTCGAGCGGCGAGCTCATGATGGACGCCGTGAATCAAAGGTAAGAATGGAATCTGACCCGAGGCCTCCACTATCGATAACAAGGATACTTGGGCATACATCACAAGCCCTGCCATCGTATGTCCATGCCGCGTCTAGGCCAAGCTGACGCTTCTCTCGCAGATCAACCTCGTTCAATTCTGATAAGACAATCATATTTCGAATGCATGCCAGTTCGAGCTGATCATTTGTGTGCAGACAGAGTGTGTATTACACACTAGGCAGAGCCGTAGCCGCGGCAACACTTATGCGTTATGCGAGAGGTTCAAATTTAAAAGTGTAGAATATAAGCGTACGCCCCTTCTTGAAACTCTCCAAAGAGGTATAAACTTATACTCTATAAGCTATATATATGAGGATGTAGTCCAAGCGTTAGCCGAGAATGGGTCCGGAAGTAACGATTCCTCACTCTCGTATTTTTCCCCAACCATCTCGATGAGGGCGAACACGAGGACTCTAGTGGAGTAGTCATCGTCAAAGAGGCCAGTGAGGAAGAAGGGCATGACCTGTTGTGAGATGACATTGATCATGACATTTGAATGTACATGGGGTTCGATGTCGATTGAATCTTCCAAGTTCAGCAACCAATGGCCGAGAGTTTGGTAGAAAAATCGCCGAACCTGCTTGGGTGTGATTTCATAACACTCCAACGGCGTGGTCTACCGCTATGTGGCGGTCGAAACACAGCATAGTGAGGTAATTGACTTTTGTAGTGCCCTCGTAGAAGGCTTTCACTGGCACCTGGGATGCTCATATTGATGACTAGAGATCGCTGAGGAGACCTGGTTGGGATCGCTCCATGCAGTAAGATGTGCGATAATGTCGAAGGAGTGTTTCCAGGTGGTCGTCTTGAGACATGCCGTCACTGCTCTTAGTCCTGCGATACGAACCTGTACGAGTAGTGTAAGGGCCAAAGCTGGGAGGCCGCGATACCTGCATATGATTGTGAGTGAGGCAGGATGAAGCGCTTCGAGCCATCGCCTCGCCAAAGTGCAACTGACGATAGAATGAGGTGATGACATGATGGAGGGAATCGTCACCAAGAGAGGGGCATGGGCGTCGCAGAGGACCTCACAGGCCTCGCAGCCTATGAGCTTGATTTTGCCGAAATCGTCGAGCATGAGGCCTCTCACTAGACTCACGATCTCATCGATGGACTGAATAGGGATGGAAGTGAAGATGCATCATCAGCCGATACACGCAACCCTACTTGGACGAGGACGGTGGGCTTGCCGGAAACCCGTCCCAACAGGCATATTATCTGCGAACTTTGGGGCGAGATGTAACGAACGAGGAACTTACCAAATCAGCGATTTGCTCTCTGACTTCCTCACAAAGTTCTCTGCCGTCTGCGTGAGCCATCTGCTGGGGCTTTTGCTCTGGCGAAGGCCTCGTCTTCTCCGGCACTCCAGCGACTCCATCGAGATCACCGCAATTCAACCGAATCACTATGTGAGGCACTACGTACCTGTGAATCACTGCTAGTGGTGTGTCTAGAGACGGAAGAGCTCTCACGGGAGGGCGGTGACAAAGTGAGCATCCCCACAGCTTGACAAGAGGTTCTTCAGAACCTGAATGAATTGTCGAACGATAACCTCAATCTAGCTGCGGAAAATAAGGGGGGGGGCGAATTATGAACTAAAATGATGAGCTTTGATTCGGCGATCAACTGTGGGTCTTTGCATTGCATGCATGGATGTATGTCCCACCTCGCAAGCGGCAAGTCTTGAGGTATCCCTGGCGAACGTGTCCGGGTTGAGTGAAAGGCGTACGAGAGGGCGGAGGAGAAACTATACATGGTCGAAGAATTCCCAATGGAGATTCACAAACACCAACCTCAAGGGCTGCATCAGCGAGGTCGGGTGCGATAGAGTCTTTGAAGCGGCTAAGAAGCTTCTCACGGAGCTGTTTATCAAGCTCGGTCGCTCGAGGCAAGCCTTGGCCAGGAGGAGCAACTTCCGAATAAGATTTCGCTTCCTCGGCTGCCCTCAAGACTAGCGGTACTGATGTACGCAGCCAGTCAGTGAGTGCGACGACCTAAAATAGAGGGTTTTCTGGTGGATACAGGCCGTATGCGCGTACTGAAGTGAAGCTCTCAGTGATGTTGTCCTCCTACGAAAAATGAATAATGACAAATGCCTATCAATTGCTTACCGTATCAGCACGGTGATTATCAATGGCGCGGTTTTCACTTTCTTTATCTGTGGTGAACTCCTCGTAGAGAAACCGGTCTGTTGAGCCCTCAGCTGCAGTACCACCATCTGAAGACGGTTGAGGGGGGAGCGGTAGGATGAGACGTACTCGTCCAGAAACTCAATTCTTTCGCCCGTTGGGGCTTCTTTTCGCGCTTTCTGCGGAAGACTGGCAGACTTCCATCGGATGCTTGCCCGATGCGCTGAGCTCTCTGGGAGGCACTCTTTGCCTCCTCTTTCATCTCAGCCCAGATTGCATCTACGTTGTTCGACATATCGACAATACCCCTGGGCAATGTTTATGGTTGACATCAACAAGACACGTAGCTAGTAGTGATAACGTCAATAAACAAGGTGATTGCGAGTTCTCTCCTTACTCGCGGCCCTCAGGGTGGAATGATTTCGAAGGAGCTGCATGATCCGGGGCAAATTTTAAAATGCTCAGCATACTGCGTCACCTCGGCTTCGTCGTTACCGTCTAGCCGCTATGATGTCATCAGAGGATGCTCTTGTGATGGATAGGATCCAGAGGCATCGTCAGGAACAACCAGCTTATTCTTCCAGCAGGGAAATTGAACATTTTCATCTCCTTTTTCTTATGACCATCAAGGGGCAGTGGAGAGTTCTTGATGATGTCAGAAGTGAGGTTAATTTCGGACTGCCTCTGAGAAGTTAGCCATCATGGAAGCACTCGGGTGTCACCCGAGCGGGTTATGATACCCATTGATAAACCTCAACAGTGTGTATAGATTGTCTAGGACATCAAACAACATACATGTGATGGAGGGTCGTCACCATCCTGCAATCTTCGCGTTAAGTTGTCTCTCCATGTCGTTTCTATATCGTCTATTCACCTCAGTCGAAACACCATCGTATGATGCCTCAGTGGAACGACTAAGAACGGGTCTGGCCTCGGACTTTGGGGATCTCTTGAAGACTGATAGGATTCTCCTCTTGATAGGCACTTTGGGCTTTGACGGTTTGCTCCTCACAGTGATCGATTCGTACGGCACTGATTCGTCGTTGGCCTTTCGCCTGCCCAAGAGGCCACACAGACCCCCGAAGCACCCTGTAGATGACTCATCATCGTCAACATAAGCTCTTCTGCTAGTGGAGAGCGCCAGAGTAGTCGATACTATTAGTAAGGCACACAGCCATAGGTGTTTGATCATGATGTAGTTCAACACGGGGAATTCCACGATGGGCACTATGGAAATCAAATCTTGCGTTATTACTCTTTCTTACATTTCCTCGACATGCAAGCTTTTACGTGGGGGCAGCGTCCAAGGAAACTTCCCTATGTCGATGGGAATTGTCCGAACTATGATGTTTTCCGTTTGCATATAGAGCAGTCTTGCTATAGCAGGCTCAAGGACGAGCTTATGTTAGAGCCTAATCTTTATCCCAAAAGGTGGTATGTTATTATTCATAGCTTTCTAATGCGTCATCGTCGACACCAGCTGAGGTGTTGCCCTTGCCTTCCATCGTTCCCTCAACGCTACCAGCCCGAGTCCTACAGTTTCCCAGCCGTGGTAGGTCCACTTTTATTACCTTTTTTTCGACGCTTTGTGCCGCAGGCCGAAAGTATCGTAACAGCGGTGGTTTTTCTCGAGGATTCTCCCTCGCCGCTTGCTCGGCTAGTACTGGCAGATAGTGAAGGCTTCGTGTCGGCTTTCAAGCCAACTACAACATGTGCATGGCATCAACATTGTCAGTTTAAATGCCACAGTGAGGGTATCAACGAAGTGGTAAGGTAGTCCAGTATCATCATAGAGATTTCATCTCAGGTGTCTATCGGTGAGGGTCATCTGATTACCTGTTCAGCAGACCGGAGCGTCGGGTTGTGGTCGGCTCGTAAGGACGAGGCTTCCCTAGTTGGAGTCAGCAGGCTGAATGGGCATGAGCTCTCCGTTGCATCGGCTACGGGCAGTTTGCGGGTGAGGTCAATCCCGACGTGCTCTGGAGGTCTCTTATGTGGTTCAGCGAAATGTGGTGGTGACGGGGGGAAGGGACTGCAGGGTGACCTACTGGGACATCAGCACAGCGCGGCAGATATCAACAATATGGACATCTCGTAACGTGGTGACACGTGTGAGGTATCTTTATCACGTGTAACCCCCTCGAGTGTACTTATCAGGATTTTGCCGGAGTCTCTCGCGGTGGTCCAACTTTCTGAGGATCTCCAATTTAGGGTCGGCCGAGAGCAGCTCTTGAGAGGCTTCTGGTATGCGGGGCTCAGGTATGGGATTTTAGATCACCGCCTGGGTCGGCCTCTATAGTGCACTCGACGCCGTGTGGAGCCGACCAGTTGGTGTCGTGTGCTGTGGGAAGGGATAGTGATAGTAAGCGTATTGGATTCTTGAGGGTCTCATCAGTAAGAAGGTTATGTCGTTTGCGGGTCTAAAGGGTTCGCATCGAGCCAATGCAGAGTGAAGCTGTTTGACCCTCGGTTGAGCTGGAAGGAGGTAACGGGTCTCTCTCTGGTGATGTGATTTATGAATAGTGTAGATACCACTCCCTCGCGAAATCACGTTTGAATCTACCGTTGAGGGCGTTAGCTACCTCAACGATCGTATAGTGGTTGCGGCATCTAAAGGAGGACAAGTTGCCTTATTAGATTTGGCCACTCTCGAGCCTGTCAGAAGTTTTATATACTCCATCTCGGAATCACCTTCGCCCTGCAGGTTTATCGTACCACACTATACACTACTCAGGCAGGTGAGTCTGCAGTGGTCACATCTATTGATTGCTCAAATGTAAACGGGGGGGGGGAGGATTTTTCTGCAGTGGAGAAGGTGTCCTTGCAGGGGCTGGTGGCCTTTGGGAGTATCGGGCAGGCTAAGGTGGTGAAGGCCGTATCGGCTCCCGATGGAAGCATGACCCTTGAACGTGTTGGTCAGTGCATGGTCTCACACTGGAGCGTCGATGTCTTGTGTTGGGGGGTATTTTGTGGCGCGGTGAAGGTGATCAGGTGTATCAATTGTATTGAAGTAATGTCAGAAGAGTTCTCGTTGAATATCGAGGAGTCCAACTCCCCTATCGCTCCACCCAAGGTGGACTATGCCGCTGTTCCTACTTCGGCTACCGGAGAGTTCTCAAGTAGCACTTGGGGTGGGTCTTCGTCGGCTTGGTGAAGTTGATCGTATTAGGTACTCTGGCTTCCTCACCCTATCATCCGGTGACACCCCAGAATCTGTTGCCGTCACCATCGATCCCGTATAGGCCTCTCACGGTTCAGATGTAGTATCTTTAGGTTGAGCGTGTAAGATTCAAAAGAGGTTCGAATGATGTACACCTCAGGCAGCAAGATTTGACCTCAGCTGAGTGCGATGCAGTGGCCAGCGTACAGACGATGGCTGATGAGTGCGAGCTTGGGTTCAGGTGGGTGTTCGTGTCACCGCTGCTGTCACCACTCCAAGTGTTCAGAGACACCAATGAGAGCATCACTGCTGATCCTAGTAAGGACCTATACAAGGCGATGTATGAGTGGATCGACCTAAACCAAGATGTACCAGCCGGGGATCGAACCTGCGTGGTAATATGATACTTGGTTTCAGGTCTTTGTATCGAGATTGGCCGAAGCTGTTGCTATTCCCAGTGTCTCTGGCGACCCTACTTTACGCCCTAGGGTGAGCGCTGGAGATCTCGCTACGCCCTGGAGTAGGTGTTTTCTTTTTAGGTTCTCCAAACGGTAGCTTGGGCGACTAAATGGTGTGAATCACTCGGAGGGGTTACGGAGCCTGTTGATCTAGGTCTGCAGACTCTCCCTGATGGTGAGCTTCTTCCATCGTATCGTTTACGTTACTGCTGTTCCAATGAGTAGGTAGCCGTATCGTTCGCCCTCCGGCCCTGTTTGCCACTTTCGAGTCGACCTTGCCTGGTGTCCCTACCTTGTGCGTGTATGGTCATCTAGACGTGCAGCCGGCTAGCAAGGAGGACGGGTGGGATACGGAGCCGTTTGAGCTGACTGAGAAGGATGGCAACCTGTAGGGGCGGAGGCTGGAGGGGTTGGCCTTTGACATGCGTGTTCGCTCAGATATGGTAGAGGTGCAACGGACGATAAAGGACCGGTTCTCTGTTGGCTATGGTTTGTGGAATTCCATAGGAAATTCAACTTACCGTTGCCCTGCAATCTCAAGTGAGCGGTAGTTTTGGATGCAATGGATGTTTCTTGACCTCCTTGGTAGGTGTGTGTTTGAAGGTATGGAGGAGTCGGGTTCAGAAGGCCTTGAGGAGTGCCTTCAGGTGATGTTCGGTTGGTGTGGTAAGTGGTGGATATTTCGGTTAATACTCTTCAGTCGGTGAGCGAGACCTTCTTCAACGATGTGGACGGCATTTGTATTTCTGATAACTACTGGATGGGTCTGGAGCGTCCGTGTGTCACCTGGGGTATCCGCGGTAATGTGTACTTTGCTGTGGAGGTAGTTGCTCACTCGTGTGATGTGGCGAAGTTATGGTATGAAATAGGTACGTGGAGGCACGAAGGATCTACATTCGGGAGCTCACGGTGGAGCCGTCCAAGAGCCAATGACTGACCTTGTGAAGGTAGTTGACTACACCTCAGCTGTATGCTGTTTAGGGGTCTCTGATAGTACTAGAGTATTGGTTCGCTTTCCGCAGCTGAGCTTAGGAATTTTCTCACTAGTTATAGGAATATATGGACGAATTTTGGTAGAAGTGAAAAAAAATGAACAAGAAATTCCGAAAATTTTCTGAAAATTACCATTTCGTCAGCAACATATTTTCCTACACTGCACTTTGATCAGATCATGGCATCGTTGGTCGACAGTGCTACCGGAAAAATACTTGTTCCTGGTATATACGACGAAGTTGACGAGCTGACTCAAGAGGAGAAGGAAAGGTATGTTGCGTGAATTGGCTTCATGGTGTGCATATCGGTTCGGATAGATACGAGCGTTGTGATTTTGATGTCGCTGGTTACGCAAATGAGGATACTGGCGGCATGCCTCTCCTGAGCCATGTATTATGCAGTGGGTGGGGAAGTGTGTGGAGGAGAATGATTTCCCTTTAGGATAAGTCCACAATCTTGATGGCGCGGTCAAGATACCCGACTTTGTCCCTGCATGGTATAGAGGGTGCGTTCGCGGGGGCGGGCGCGAAAACGGTCATTCCTCGCACGGTCGTTGGTGAGGATGAGGTTGGGGCTTGGAGGGGTTTATTAGATTGTAGGTAAATTCTCGATCCGTACCGTACCACATATGACGATCGGTCACGTGTCGGAGTGTGTGAAGCGATATGTTGTGAAAGTCTTTGATACGCTGGGAAGCAAAAACCGTCTGAAGGTCAATGTTATTCACGCGGGAAAGGTAATGGAATTTTATAATCGGGAATAACGCGAATCGGCTTTGTTGTATCAGCCTTGGGTTGGAGATTTGAATGGTTATAACTACCGTGCTGCAGCTGCTGCCACTAGACAGGTGAGGGTGGAGTTTTGGCATGTATGTGTGTGCCCAGGGGAGTGCGCTGTGAAATCGTTCAATTTCCAAAGTCTGGATTTCGCATAGATGGGTTTTGCAGTGTTTGAAAATATGCACAGGTTGGCTAAGTGTGTTAGCGGTAAAAGGAGAAATTTGAGGAAATTTCGGGAATTTTTGCCTTCTTCGTGTGAGCTTAACTGAGGAGAGCGTAAATACATCTGTGAGATTGAAACGACACTGTTGGAGTGGTGGCCGTGTTGCTGGTAGCGTTGATACTGTGTTGGAGTAGGTGTGGGGTGTCGAGCCTGACTACACCAGAGAGGGTGGGTCTATCCCTATCACGTTGACCTTTGAGGAGGTCAGCGGAGGCAAACCCGCCATTTTGTTGCCGATCGGGCAGGGGAACGACGGCGCTCACAGTCAAAACGAGAAGATCTCGAGGAGGAACTATATCATGGGGGCGAAGACTCTCGGAACGTAAACCAATATGAAGTGGGTGAAAGTCATTATCAAGCTGTCAGGTACGTGTATGAATTTTCACGGATGACTATGGAAGAAAAAGCAAAGTAGTGAGGATTATGGATAGACGCCAACGTGCTTGACTGCTGCACTTTCCTCCTTTTATAGTCTTTCATTAGTATAGTAGTATTATGGAACGTTCAGTGCGTCAT